TCCAGAAGAACCTACCGGTGCTTTGGGTTACCACCAGTGCTTTCCATTTGCCTCTTGAGATAGATACATCTACTTCAATAGTGCTATATCATGTATTGTAGACCACACACATTGATAATTCTGGTAGTTAATATTAGTACTTGAAGTTCTGTGGCTGCCAAATTCACCCATCAATAATGGAATTTATCCAGCTTCAACAAATGGTTTTTTGCTTGGAACAGCCGGTTTGATAGGATGGATTCAGAATAATCAAGTGAGATCAATCATGGTGTTATCCACTGATGATATCATGAAGCAAATGCTAAATGCCTCCCATATAAGCTCATATATGTTCAACACCCCACCCGCTGCTGACCAGCCTAGTAAAAATTTAAAAAAATTAGTGAGGATGTCAGTACACGTAGACTTTTATTCCTCATTCTGTTGAAATTTCATGGAAACTGATCTTTTAGTTTTGTGAGTTCAACAGTTTTATAAGTTAATTTCAGAATCATTGGGAAATCCAGGATTGGTTTACACATCAAAATTTCAGAAATAATTAGAGTCAGTCTCAACCAAATTATGGCAACACATCAAACCAGAAAAATTTCAAAGTCAAATTCAAGAGCTTATAAAGCTTAAAATCAAATGAAACAGGAAATCATTAATGATGACCTGCTGATTGAATCAATTAAACCTTTGGGTGATTTGCATGGTCAGTTGCAGTTTGAAATTGGAAAAAACAGTGGGAGGGGTTGAAAGAAAGTCTGTAAGTCTAGGATTTGCAATGAGCTTTGGGTTAATATTTTGCCTAAAGTTTTGGCTATGATTCAAGTTGGGTAAATTTATTTGCATAGAATGTGTACTTTATCAACATGTTTTGATTTACAATCTTCCTTTAGGAAAGCCCATTGCCAAGGACCAGGTTTGTTCCTTGAGAAATTGGGTTTGCTATTGACATATGTCTGTGCATTCAATAGATTCCAGTCACTTTCTTATCAAAGCTTGTGAGAATCACATTGCTTTCATTTTAAAAAATCCATTAACCTTAAGATCAACCTCACGATTCATGCCATTGGTCTTAGTTGTGTTCATTTTATATTTGATTGCACCCACCAAATTTCAATAACTCAAAACTTGCTTGACTGTTTGTCACATTGACCTACCAAGTAGCCATGATATGATATATGATGTAAAGGGATGTGGATATTTCAACTTCAAGGGGTGTTAATTGGTGTACAAAATATCATGGATTGAACATATTGTGTTCTGAGTTGTGATTAGTTTGGGTGGTTCAAACAGGCTGTGTCATAATTGGGTTTGGGTGCTACAAATGCAAGGTTATTCATTACCTTATCCATTCTTGGATATGTGATGGCCAGTTTGACACATTGAGTGGAAAAAGTATGTCACATATGAAAATTTGAGTTGAAAAAATTGGTAGAAGGAATACATGGCAAGGCCAGTGAACATTGTTTGGTGTGTGCAGTCAAAAGGGGGGTACTAGAGGGTGGCGGGACACCCACT